CATCTCCATAATCTGCTCAACCGGATGGGTTCTTCGACCACTGAACATGAGCGTGGACGTATTAGAGAAGAGATGGCATTACTATTGGGTTTAAATCCTGATAGTGTGGAGAGTGATGAAATTCCAAGATTATTGTATAGGCGTTGGAGGCAAAAAATAACAGTCTGAGATGGCATGTATTTATTTAAAAATGTAGCTTATTATGGCATGGGGTTCTATGCCATTGTATTAATATTAAAAGACAATTCTTTGAGAGGATTTGCATTATACTAGAAGTGTTACAGCATGTTATTGGAAGTCTACAAAGTTGTTTTATTAATAAGGGGAAAGTAAAGATTGAATGGGGACTTGGGCTCCACCTAGACTCGGAGCAACTAAGCCAATATTAAAAGGATGGAAAGAAATTGGACGACGATGACAAGGAGAAGAGAGAGGTGAAGCAATGGTAGGGGGAGGAGAAGTGATTGAGTAGACATTTCCTTGTTTAAAATAAAATGGCATGTGCCTCAATGCAGTTGAATTTTGTTATATTTATATACTATATAAAGGTTTGGAAACCTTATTTTACAAGTGGGATAATGACAATTCCCACTTTAACGAAATAGAGCTTAAATGAGTTATACCATGCGTTGTAAATGCTGCCATCAATTAAATCTAATTATTCAATTACAACTACATAGCATTAAGAAAATGCACCAACTATTGCTTCAGAGTCAAATGAGGAGGAGGTTGTTGCTCTGCCATGAAGATTAATGAAAAGGAAAAAGGCAAAAAAGAAGAAATTGAAAAACCTATAAAGAAAAGGAAATCTAGATGATGCAAGAGTTAGATCTGAACCAAAATCCCAAATTCAAGCACTCCTTAGAAACTATCAAAGCTACTCCTCATCTCCACCAATGTGAGTGTATGGAATATAGAAATAAAATATAGAAATGTGTATATTCATTAGCCCAAAAACCCTAGCTTATATATAATAGCAAGTGGTTCAAATTGAAACTAATCTGACAGCTATCAAAATCCTACTATATTAATATTAGTATATGGTATTGTAGCTGTACACTTTGACCTCAAAGCTATACTTTTGTAATTGTTAAACATCTTTAATAATAATTTTCTATGAGTTGCATATACCAATGTTTGGTTTGCTTAATATTCTTATTTATTAATCCAATTGATCAAATAAAATTTTATAATTATAAACACACACACACATATATATATATATATATATATATATAAATTTATAAACACAAGATTAATCTTATTGTATATCAACCATTAGATGGTAGAATAAAAATAATATACTGGAAAAAGTTTATATATTATAAATACAAGATTAATTTAAATGAATAAAAAATTTTAAATGGTAAAATATTCTAGAATATCTAAGCATATTCTAGGTTTATCCATTACCATCTCTACAGGTTTACTTAGGCAAACCAAAAATAAGAAATTACTCTAAAATCATTTGATCTAAACTATGGTCAAAGTGCAAGTAAACTATCAGAAAAGTTGTTAGATTCATCATTCTATTCTATCTTAGCAATGTTCATATATATGATCTTTTATTTAAGTTGTTTTTCTCTTATGGCTGATGATAAATTACATAAGAGGATTAATGAATATTATTAAAAGCAAGATGTCTAAGAGTGTCTAGTCATATAGTTGAGGTCTTTGACAAACTCTCTTAAATTCTGATAGGCACTACCCATCAAATGCCTTGTCAAAATGCATTTGAAAGAGCTTGTCAAAGAATTTGTTAGCATGATGAGATTTTTTAGTAGTGCTGCATGAAGTATCCTTTCATTAAGCTCAAATTGGACACTCTTGAGTAGGCTTTTGTGCTCATAAACTAGAGAAAGTAAAATTTCTATAACAGCAAGTAAAGTATTTTTATGCATCTGGATCTGAAAAAATAAACCTTTATTCTAGTTCCTATTTGAAATTAGAGAAACAAAAAGTGTTTATTAAATATAAAGTCCAAAACTTTTTACATTTTAGAAGGTTTTCTTAATATTTATTAATCCTTTTATGCAATTTATCATCAACTATAAGAGAAAAGAAAAATTAAATAAAATATCAGATATATAAACATTGCTAAGACAGAATAGAATAATGAATTTAACAAGTTTTCTAATAATTTACATGCACTTTGACCATCTTAAAAGTGGGACTGATAAAGGGTCTAGCAATACCAACCTCTTGCCATTGTGGCAGTAAGAAAAGAATATCCAAAAAAGATTAGCTAACAAGTAATTTTTTATACCTACAATCACATTCACAACACTTTAAGGTTTTTCCCCTTTGTCTTATACTTCCTTATGGTTTTTCCATTCTTCTTACTTTTATTCTTTTTTATCCATCTGCTTCTACTTTTTCTTTTACAACTTTTGTCTCTCTATTATTTCTTTTTATGTTTCCTTTTATTCCTTTATTCCTTCTTCCAATCTTTCTGACTATTGATTGAAAGAGACCATATTAAATGTTATGGCAAGTTGGATCGCAAGTTTATAAAGTTTGACATCACATCCAACAAACCAATCCTCCAAAAATTGTGGATGTGCAATGGCTGAAACACTTTGTATAAAGAGATTATGAATAACTAACACCACTTATAGATATACCAATGCCTCCTTCTAATGTACAGAACATTGACTATTTTCCATCATTCCAAAATAAGAGGATGATATAAAGTTCAAGTGTATGGCTACAATATCATATATTAATATTAATGTAGTGGGATTTTGATAACCATCAAATCAGTTTCAATTTAGACCACTCGCTCCTATATATAAGCTAGGCTTTGGGTTAATTAATATGCATATTTTTGTATTCTATTTCCATATTCCATACACTCGCATAACAAATATTTATTAAAAGTCATGATCATATTTAAATCAATATCCTCTATTTATTGTTCTAAACTTTTAAATTCATTTCTTTCATTAGCTATTTACAATAACCACCAAAAACCATGAGATTGACAGATTATAATAAACTATTTTTATGATCTTTGCTAAACACTGAGCCTTCTATCCCCACCTTGGGCTTCACCAATCTACCTCCTGTATCATCTTGGGTTGGAACCTCAATGTGATTCTCACTTAGTCATTGTGCAAAGTGTAGTCACTCTTGTTTGCTTCCAACTCAACTATTATGTAGTTGTGTATAAATGAGGATTGGTGCTTGATCTTATAGAAATTTACAGATTTCTTTGGCCAAAAGTTCACCTTCTAGGATTACATGTAGATCTGCACCTCAGGGGACTATGGTTGGTATAGTAGAGCATAGGTTGGGCACACATATGCTCTACATCCTTGACTTCTTTGTAACCCCATATGTTACAAGAGGCAGATATTGCATGGCAGCAAAGGTCTAAGTTCCATCATCAATCTGTGGCACCCTACCTAGTAGCTAGCCAGGGCTCTCCAACTGCAGGTGGTGAGATCATGAAACTGAATTGGCACATGGGGATAATGGTGTTCACATGAAAAGGACATTGGTCTCACACAATTGTTGGAGGGATTGCCATGTCGAAAACTTAAGTTGCTTGGTCAATTCTGTCATCAATATGGAAAGGTCGTGGCCAACATTAATGGATTTAAAATATGTAATAATAATAATGGGTGGCCATCTATGCCTTGAGAGTGTGCCGCTTCAGCCATGTGTTGAGATTCAGCAATTGCTATGTCTGTGAGTTTCTAGCTGTAGAGAGCATTTTGCATGTAAACATCTCCAAGTGAGAATCTCTATTGGGAGTAAGTTAATCTCAAGAACCACAATCAGGTATAAAGCCTGTAGACCCCAAATTCTGCTGAGATGAAGTACTTGTTGACTGCTCAAGTTTGTCCCACATGGTTTGGACCTTAGCTTTCTTCTCCATACAAGGCCACCATTGTTACCTTTGTCATATAATAGGCATGTTTGACACCCCACCTTATGTATGTTGGCTTTGCGGCAATTTGATTGAAGATGTGTGCTGGCCCTTACTGCTGATGCAATGCACTCCTCTACTCTGGTTTTCCATGGGAGAAGTCAATCAACAATGTATCCTATGTGTTTATATTTCTCCCTGTGCTCAATCCATTCCCCCTTGAAGTGGAACTTGCTCACTGTGTCCGGGCCAAAAACTATCATCTTCATTTTGCTTACTACAAGGCCTGTGGAGTCATAGAAATGCGTCAGGAGGGTGCTTAGTTGGTGTTGAAGTTCCAGCTGCGTAGTGGCCAGGTCATTTGCATATATGAACAGCTGATCCTGGCGAGCAAGACCAAGGAGGGAGTGTCCCTGCCATTAACATTTCCAGCCCCATCAATGAAGAGGCCAAAAAGAGTGGATGATAGGGGGCAGCCTTGTCGAACACTTGTGTCACAGTGGATCAGAGTGTGTTGTAGGATTTCTTCTTTTACGTTTTTGTAGAGCCTCTAAATGAGCCTGATGAGCTTGGCAGGACATTTAGTTCGTGGAGTCGTGCGAATTGTCACCTCCTCAATACCTTATCATAGGCTTTTACTTTGTCGACATAGCATGCATACACTGAGGTTCGCAGGTGTGCATGCAGTTTGTCAAGGGCTACACACTGCGTCACCAAGTGGTTGATGCAGCTAAAATGCAGTGGCCTGCCCTCTTGCTCTGCATTCTTGGTCCTCTGTCCAGCTCACAAGAAGTTGCTCCAGACATTTGGCCAGAAGCTTCACCAAGATTGTTGAGATCATTATGGCATGATAGTTGGAGGTGCTAGATCTCCAGCCTTGTACATTGGTACAGCCATGTTGTGTTCCAGGTCTGTGGAAAACCGTGTTGGATGATTTCGTTGAAAAGTTGGCAAGAGGATGGGGGCAATAGCTCGGCAGTGAATCCATAGACATGCGTGTGAGGGACTGGATCACTGTCTTCATCTGTTCTGTGGTAATTTGGAGCACCCCTAAGTGTTCGAATTCCACGCTTCCTCGGTTTGGACAAATGCCATGAATGATCCATCAAAGAAAATCAGGTATAGAATTGTCAGCAATGTGGATTTTGGGAAAGTAAAAACTGTTGCTGGCTCATGCACCTGGCAGATATATTGAACTCAGAGTGTGATCACTGGAAAGCAATGCTTGCTAAAAATACAGTAAGCTTTCCTCACTTCCCGAGCCTGCTGAAACATTTAGCGTGGAAGCAAGCTCATGCCCTAGCCATTTTCCTGAAAACAAGACACTGTGCTGCTAAGTGTCCTCTTCGTCTGGCCGAAGCCGATGGCACTCCTCGTTCCTAACTGGTAGTAATGTGGTTTGTGGTGCCGTAACGGTTCTGTGGCTTGTTGTAGATGCGAACCGGGAAATCCGCCTGTCCTTGTCTCTAATGCAATGCAATGGTGATATGTTGGCAGCATGGCCGAGGCTCCTGCCGTGTTTCGAGGTATGGGTTTCTTCGATCCGAGGATTTCCTCGATTTTTGCGTAGCTGTGCACGCACGAGCTATCGTCCGAAGATCGAAAAAAAAACATAGACGGGAACTTACAGGTGATTCAAGAGCGCCAGGGCCACTCCATTCCATTAGCCGAATAGAATCTTCCAACTACAAGAAGGGAATCATTGACAAACCAGGCAAGACAAAGCAAGGACTCAGATAAAAGTTCTCTTTTGCGTACCTCGAGAGAGGGCTATTTGCTTGCTGGCTGGAATGACGAGTATCACAGCTCGATTTGTGGGAGCTCCTCATCGTCTCCGACTGGCTACGAGATCTTGTTCCACTTCTCGCAAGATAACTTTCCACACAGTTGCGAGCTCCTTCACATCTGGAAAGAAGTAAGCAAGAATCAGTTTTAGAACCAAAGTGCTCACCTTATGTGATCTCTACAGACTGGACGGCAGAGTTGCTATAATCACTGGAGGAGCCAGTGGTATAGGAGCTACAACTGCAAAGCTCTTTGCTTCTCAGGGTGCCAAAGTCGTAGTTGCGGACATCCAGGACGAGAAAGGGAGCGCTCTCGTCAAGGATCTTGGTCCAAACAGCCGATACTTCCACTGTGATGTTAGCTGCGAGGACCAAGTATCGGCTTGCGTCGAGTTTGCCACTTCCACCTACGGGAAAACATTGGATATAATGTTTAACAATGCTGGAGTAGTAGACGCAGGCAAACCTGAGCAAGCGTTCCTCCGGATCACTGATATCGATGCCTCGAGTTTCGATCACGTTTGCAGTGTCAACGTCAAAGGAACACTTTTCGGTGTCAAGCACGCTGCGAAAGCCATGATCTCCAGCACGGACTCCATGCGCTGCATTCTAAACATGTGTAGCATATCAGCAGTGGTAGCACAGAGAACTTACCACAGCTATACCATCAGCAAGCACGCGATTATTGGTATCACCAAGACCGCAGCCAGCGAACTTGGACGCCACGGAATCCGGGCGAACTGCATATCACCAGTGGGGATCATTACTCCGCTTCTGGCAGAACTGCTCCAAAAATTACAACCGACACTTACCTCGGAACAGATTCAAGAGGCATATGTTTGCAACTCAGAGCTTGCAGGAACCAAGCTAGAAGTGGAGGACGTTGCGAATGCGGCGCTGTTCCTGTGCAGTCAAGACGCTAAGTACATAAGTGGACACAACCTGGTGCTCGATGGAGGTCTTAGCGCGTCGAGGCCTTTCGATCCCTTTAGAAATCCATACGAGTGAGCTGAAAAGTAAGAGGTTTAGTCGCAAATGAAAGAACTTCTCATAAAAAATTCACGAGTTTCTTTAAGCAATGAAATCAGTCTGAAGACCACTTCACACTCTGCCTTATTCCCTGGTAAATGAGTCCAAACGATCTGCCTATAAGGCAGACGAGCAGGAACGACAGACCTTGTCCCAGTTTCGTCACCAGTATTCGCAGAAGGGGACCAACAACATCAGAGAATTCCATGTACAGGCTGTAATAGTACCTCCTGCAAAGTGCACAGTTCGTAAGACAATAGCAAATTGACAAATTCATTTACCATCCAGATAGAGCTTTCAGTTCTTTGCTCCTTCTCACGCGGACGCTTAAGCGATCAAAATACAGCTCGTCGACACCTTCGAGTGATTTTCTCTTCTGTTTTTTCTGAGCTTTATTTGCAGCAGGTTCGTTCTTGCTTGCGTTCGCAGTGAGTACCCATAGCTCCACTCGGTCTTCGTAAATGGCTGCAACGGAGTCAAAGTTGTAATGAATCCATTGATACAATGCCACCTGCACGAAACTAAAAGCTCGAACTTAAATCCTTAACAAACTCGCGTGTTGCCATACCTCGTTTCGAAATCTTTCAAGGCTCCGTGTAGAGCAGATTGATGGAAGCAGTAATGTCGGCCAGCCCGTAATAACACCAGAAACGGCTCCCAGATACATAGCAGCTGCCCCGTCAGAAATAGCTATCACGATATCCTCTAGGACATTGTTTGCAAGGTTGGTAGACACGGCCTGATCGGAAAAAGTTCTCGAGCTGCAAGAAAATAAATTCTAACGATTGAAGTCCTCAAAGACATTGATTACCTGAATGACTTTTTGCATTGGTGATAAAGGAAATCAGCGCAAAGGTTGGCTTTTCCGCTTCTTTGAAGGCGTGTTGACATATACTCCTTGGCTTCAGTTTCTACGTCGCCACTTAAATCCTCAGTCTTGATCATGCTGCCTGAAAAGTAGCCTGCTGAAGTCCTTTCAGTCTTTCTTAATTCCTGGGAGATCCAAAGCCTGCATACAGGCCCAACCATGCTACATACGTCCTCCAAGGACATCTCCCTGCTGCTAGCCTGAAACCACAAAACAGCCATTTGTCAATCCAAAATCCACACAACCACACTAGTTACTTGAAAGGTAAGTGTCAATGCCTGCCTCGTTGCGTAGTAGCGACAGCGCTGCCAGAAGGAGCCGGAGCCTCGGACCATAAGCTAGCGCTTGCAAGCATAGTGATGGATTGGAAGTAAGTGGCGTCGAGGAAACATCCACGGCGCCAGCCCCCACTGTAGAAATGGCCCCGACGAGCTTTCGGCTCATAGTATCCCACACAAAGTCGCTGTTGCTAACGCGAATTTTCTTCTGCTGATCATTCTCAGCAATGCTATTTAACACACAAAGAAGAAAAAGACGTTCTTAGTATCGAAAGGCAAGAACTTCACGCTACTTACGATCCAGTAGAAACCGGCAGCTCCAGTGCTTTCTTCCCAGTGAGCCCCGCAAAAGGTCTCACAACACCAGCAACATAAGCAAGTAGCACGCTAGACATGAGCAGCACTTCATCGAATGCTGGCCTCCAATCCATGGACAATGCACTGCTAATGCCGGCTACGCCATCGCACCTATACTTCCTGTCAATCCTCTTCCTGCCGCGGCCGATTGAGACCCCGCATTGCCCAAGCAGCGCAAAATCCCTGTGCCCAAGAACTAATCTCATGCTCGAGAATCCGCCACCGGCGGCGCTCATCCGGCTCGCCAAGGCAGCCGCTCTGCCCGATTGAAGCTCCATCTCGCGTAATCTACGAGAATCATACCTTCCGCCCTGCTGCATTGTCCTCCAGCTCCTCCGCCATCGCTCGACACTCTCGAAGAACCCTAATCGCGGTGGAATACTGGCACCGTGGGGGCATATACTGCGAATGTTTAGCATTAAAGCGCATGTGGAGTAACGTTAGCCAGTGATTAATTAGCGCCTAGCTTTTGAGGCGCTTGTGTGTGTGAGAATGTAGGGTCTAGAACGGGGAAAAATTGGAGCGCACTGTCTGATAGAGCGCTCGTCTTCTAGGTAAGAAATCTCTCCCTAGTTCCAGGATTTCTCGCTGCTCTGGGGCTGATCTACCGCGCCAATGCCAGATTCCACTCGGGCGTCAAATCGATTGAATCGCCTTGAAAATTCGCGCAATGTGCGTCGTGGTTCGAGCGTTGGAGCTCCTGCCGGAGAGGTGAGCGTGAGATTTCTTGAAATTCTTTGCAAGGCTGTAGGAATGAATTAGATTGGCAAGCTCTAGTAAGAATTCTTCTTTGTCTTCCTCCTAGGTAGGTGTTCGTTCCTAACGTTAGTTCTCTTTCTCTGGAATTTAATAGGTTCTAAGATTTTCTAAAAGGAGGGGAGGATGCCGAGCTTAGTAACGGACAATGCACGTAAGGCGGCCTCTCCGCCCGGCCGCAAAGGTGTCAAAGGGAAAGAAGAGACGAAGAACAAAGCTTCCAACGCTAGCAGCAACGAGGCAATGAAGATCAGCGCTGGAAGGAATTCTCCCACCGGTAAAAATTCCACGGCTCCTTCTGACAGTGAAGCAATTGCGCCTGGTAGTCACGACGAAAACGAGGGCTCTCAGGAACTTAATGACGTCGTGGAGTCGAGTGCCGAGAATCCAGCTATATCACCGGAGGAAAGTGAAGCTGTTTCGAGAGAGAACCCAGCGGCAGCCAAGCTTCCCAGCCAGGCGAAAGTTTCGGTGAATTCTCGTCTTAGAAACTCTCTGGACAAGAAACCGCCGGTTCGAGCAAGTCCTCCGACGCCTCCAAGAAAGCAAAAGTCGCCGAGCAAGCCTTTAACTCGAAAATCGATCAAGAGTGATTCCCCACCAAAGGAACCAAGCAAGCAGCCGGAACAGGAGGCCGTCGAAAGTGATGCTGGTCTGGATGAACAAGAGACACAGCAGCAGCATCACCCGAAGCTCGTGAACAGCAACGCTCTGAACCTCCTGAGGCTGGCAAGAGCAAGCCATATCGCCGGGGACAATCCGCTCAAAGCTATAGATTACGCGTCTCGAGCCGCGACTTTGTTCGAGAAAGAAGATGGCGAGGTGGCCAACTTGGAGCTGGTGCTATGTCTACACATTGTAGCTGCGGGGTATTGCCGGCTCAGTCGTTACGACGAAGCGATCAAGGTGCTGGAGAGCTCCTTGCTCATTCCTAGCGTAGATCAGGGGTCGGAGCACGCACTGGCTGTTTTCGCCGGGCATATGCAGCTTGGTGATACGCTTTCCCTCGTAGGAAAGCACGAAATGGCTCTGGCTTCGTATCACAACGCATTGGACGTGCAAAAGCAGGTGCTTGGAGACATGGATCCACGAGTTGCAGAGACTTGCCGATACTTATCAGAAGCTCATCTTCAGGTAAGCTCTCCTAGTTCTTAGTTTTCGATTTTCTAATTTTATATTTTTTATCTCCTGTCCAGGTGATGCAATTTGACGAAGCTCAACAGCTTTGCAAGCACGTCCTTGACATACACAGCCAACACAGCCCTGCCGGTTCAGTGGACGAAGCCATAGACAGAAAGCTCATGGCATTGATACACGCAGGCAAAGGTGAACACGAGATGGCTTTAGAGCATTTGGTACTGGCAAGCACAACGTTGAGCTGCAATGGCCAGGATCTGGACGTTGCCTCAGTCGACTGCAGCATTGGAGAGGCTTATTTTGCTCTTGGTCGCTACGACGAGGCGGTTTTCTCGTACCAGAAAGCTCTCACAATTCTGAAGTCGGCCAAGGGAGACTCCCATACTGCTGTTGCCGCTGTTTACGTGAGCCTCGCGGACCTCTACCTAAAGACAGGAAGACAACGGGAAGCCAAGACTTACTGCGAGAATGCATTGAAGATTTTCGGGAAGAACAACGCCGGGCATGAACTTTCAAGTGGTTTGGTCGAAGTTGCGGGTGTTTACGAAGCTATGGGAGAACGCGAGCAGGCATTGTCGCTACTGAAGAGAGCACTGGACATCTTACAGCTTGCTCCCGGGGAGCAAAGTGCTGCCGCAGGTGTGGAGGCACAGATGGGAGTTCTCCTCTACGTGATGGGAAAATTCTCGGAGGCATACACTGCTTTCAACAGCGCTATACTAAAGCTCAAGTTCGGGACGGACAGAGAGACCACATTCCTGGGAGTCCTGTTTAATCAGCTGGCCCTGGCAAGCGTGGAACTTCAGCAGCTCGACAATGCGGTGAAGCACTTCGAAGAAGCAAAGAGAATACTGGAGAAAGCTGTTGGACCTCATCACGCGGAAACACTGGCGGTGTCTAGCAATCTCGCTGGGTGTTACGACGCTCTTGGAAGGTTTGTATTCTCCTTGCTTTCCCGTCTAAGTTTTGTTTTTTTGCTTCAGAGTTAACGATGCAATCGCTCTTCTGGAAAACGTTGTGGAAATCAAAGAAGAGCTCCTGGGAACTGTTCATCCGGATGTAGCACGAGACCGGGAGAGGCTATTGGCGTTGCTCAAAGGCGTGGGAAGGAGCCGAGCACGAAAAACAAGCACGCTGGAAGAGCTCTTGCTACTTCCAAATCCCGAGGCAGCCATCACTTAAGAGAAACCTTTCTTTCCTCTCTTGTAAAGTACGTGATCGCGAGATTTTTGGTAGTTCTCATGGTTTTTTCTCTTCCAGGTATTTTTTTCCTCTCGTGCGTGGTTTTGGTTCTATAGCTTTCTTTGTGTTGGCGAGCTATATTGTGGCTTGGTACTATCTACTATATACTTGATCGACTCATCAAGGTACTTCAAAATTCTCTATTCTTCCAAAAAGCTTGTTGTACAGACAAACGAAATCGTCTCTCTCGATCCTCTCAAACTGCCGAGTCATTATCAGCAGCAAACAAGCTTCCAAAATCTTTCATCGCCAGCAGCTCCTCGATGGGCCTCTTTTGCTGCTCGGCGGCGCCCTTCATCTTACGATCCTTCTTGCTCGATCGATCCTTGCTCTCGACGGAGGAAGGAGAAGGCGAAGAAGACAGGAGAAGCCGAGGTGACGGAACGGGGATCTCCCCCGCCAGCATTTTCACCACCGTCTCCATCGCCGGCCTCCTCTCCGGGTCCAAG